GTCCTCTAGTTGGGCCATATTTCCCTGTTTCTTTGTGTACCCTATCATTTTTTTTACTATAAGTTGTGCATTTGTAGATACAGCCACCTCTCCCTGCCTTTACAGATTGGCTTTTTAAAGCGTAAGACCACAATAGTCAACCACTAGTCAGCCCAGCTACAGATTCTTGGGGCCTCCCAAACCTTTTCTGGAGATGCATCTTCTCTGGGCTTGTTGGTATAATTTCCAATTTGAAAGGTTTGCTGATTCCTTGTTCGAGAGCTTATAATCTCTTGCTCCCTTTTGTGTCTGTCTGTGATACTGCAGGGTTTTTTGCACTGAAGCCAGCCTCTGAGCTCTTTTTTGTTCTCCACAGTCCCCAGACATCCAAGGTATGTCCAGTCCTCCTGATTGCACTGAGCTGTGCTGTCATGCTTTCTTCTGATTGCACCAAGCTGTGCTGGCCTTTGTCTGTGGCACTGCCAGATCTGTTGCGTTGCCACCAGCCTCTGAGATCATTTTTTTCCTGTGGCTCCAAGGCATTCAAAGTGTGCTAGCTCCCCACCTGTGCTCCCAGTCAGTCAAAACAGAAACCAGCCCCTCAGGCAGCCCTCCTGAAAATCTGCAATGTTAGATGTACATTCATCTTTTCTTTCCTTCCCCAGGGAGAAGCCATACGTTAGGCTTTTGTTCCTGATCACGTTGAGCTGTACCAGCTCTGGGGAAGGGCTGTCACCACTGATGTGAAATGACTTTTCTTGTCCATTTCAATGCAGCTGTTCTTGGCTTTAAGCTTGCCTGGGGTACTGTAACTTCTTAACTTGTTTCTAGCATCCTCATAAAAGCTTTTTAGACTATAAATTGTTGTTAAGTTAACGTCTTCGTAGACAAATGAAGTCCGGGGCTTCCTATTCTGCTATCTTAATGATATCACTTCTCCAGGATGAGGATTCTTAAAATGCGGATAGCAAGTTTAGAATCTGGCATCTTCACTCTGGATTTTACACGCTCTTTACCTGAGGAGTTGCAGCAAATGGATTTATTGACAACTCAAATAGAAAAAATAAATGAAGGAGAAAAAAAAGAAATGTGGAAAAAAGATAAAGTTGCAGAGAGTTTTAAGAAGTTTAATTTGTAAAAGCTAAAGCCAAATAATCTTAATATTTTGCTAAATGAAAACAAGGTTAATTTATTTAATTATGGCTTATCATTGCAATGGAGCACTAGGCAACCATTAAAAAAATTACTTGAAATTTTGCTAGAGGGTAGATTTTAAATATTCTTACCAAACCCAAAAAAAGAAAAAAAATGGAGGAAAAAACAAAAGAAGATGGTGATTATGTAAAGTGATGGATATGTTAATTAGCTTGATTGGGGTGATTATTTCACAATGTATTCATATCACATTATCGATTGTACACCACATATATTTTTTATATATGCACACAATGTTTACTTATCAATTATTCCTCAGTAAAGCTGAAAGAAACATAGGAAAATATAGCTAGTAAAACAAATTTATGTTTCTCCTCTGAAACGTCACTAAAATAAATAAAAAGATTAGTCCACTGAGACAGAGAGAAGAGGAGAAGAAGCAATGGCAGGCGATGACTGTTGTCAGTAGACACTGTGGGGCTGGAATGTGTTTTCATTGTGGTAAATACCTAGCAACACGGAGGCAGCTGAAACCTGACTGCGGGGTGGGAGAGGCCATCAGACCAGCTCCCATAATGCTCAGGAATTTGGGGTACACGTTCCTCTGCACATCAGAGTACAGGAGGAGCTGATGACAGAGGACGGCTGAACCTCTGCATCTGAAGCAGTGAGACCGCCAGATCCCCCTGCGTGCCACAGCCAGGGGTCCGCGCTCCCAACCCCAGGCGGGGTAGAACCAAGGTCTCAGATTCCAGAGCGTCAGATGCAACCGAGTCTGTACCAACACAGAGACAAGTGAAAATTCACATGTGGCACGAGAGCCTCAGGACCTGCTCCCTAGACTCTGAAAGACCAGCTTCCGCCTTCAAGGCAGGAGACTGAGGATCCCCCTGTGTGTAAGGTGCCAACTTAGGAGGGAGCCCTGCAGACAGGGATACCTGAGGAACCCCAGTGAGCTAACCAGATTTCTGCCCAGACACCTGGAGGGATCCCAGTAGCGTGTGAACAGCACCTTCCACAGAAATGCAGATTATAAACTGTCAGCCAGGGACTGCCGGAAACTTGAGGGAAAGTCCCAACTGCTATACAGAGGCCAAGACAGAGAGAGAAAGAGACAGAGAGAGAGAGATGGATCTTGGAGGAAAATGCAATGCCTAAAGCTGAAGAAAGTGAATATGAAAACATTTTTTAAAGATTTAAATATTAATAATAGCTTCAATGATGAAAAGAAAGATACTCCATTAAGGAAACAAGACCAGGAGCTATTTAAAAAATGTATAAAAGGGCTCTTGGAAATTAAAAGAACAGTAACAGAAATTTTAAAATTCATAGGAGTTTTACAGTGAAGTAAAGAAAATTTCCTAGAAAGAGGGAACAAAATTGGCAAGTATTCAAGAAAAATTAGACAATTGGTTTGGAATGCCCAAATACAACTAATTCAAATCCCAGAGAAAGAAAACAAGAGAAAACAGAGGAAAGAAAAAGCAGAAGACTAAGACTAGAAAATTCTGCAGAATTAAAGCACATGTAGATTGTAGGGGGTCAGTGAATGCCCCGGACAGTGGATGAAAAGGGCCCCGCCCCAGGGCTCGCCATCATGACATTTCAGGGCATGAAGGAGTAAGAGAGGAGCCTCCAAGCCTGCAGAGGGCAAGCAGATCCCACGGAGAAGATCGGCATCCCTGTGGTGGTGGGTGTCCTGCTGCACCGTTGCAAGCTCGGAGATGGCTCAACGCTTTGAGAGACAACTATTTCCACGCTAGGTTTCCATATGCATCCATACTGACTGTTCTACGTAATAGAAAAAATTTTTTAGAGTTTCAAGGTCTCAAAAATCTCCCTCATACACATCTTGTCTCAGAAAGCTGCTGGAGACTGTCTACCACTGAAATGCAGGAGTGAATTTTAAAAAAGGCAGAGGATCTAGGAAACAAGGGATCAGAACTGAGTAGAGGAAAACGGAATTTCTAGGAAATTCAGTGAAGAAAAAAGTTAGAAATCAAATCAGTTACCAAGTTCAGGGAAAACACAAAGGTAAAATAAAGAGAAAGTGTAATTACCATACACATTGTACATCTCAGAAGGAGGAAATTCCTGCTGAAGAAAACTTCTGTTTTTTATAATTGTAATATCTATTATAATAACTATACATGTATAACTAAAGAGCAGATATTAATTTAACTAATGTCGTGCTATAATTTTTGGGAAAATGAAGAAGAAAAATGTATGTGTCTGTGTCTATCTCAAAGAACTAAGTCCTCATCTTCTGGAGCAGAAAACCAATACCTAACATGGAAAAATCAAAAAATAGCAGAATAAACTTATTATTTAGAAAAGTGGAGTAGATGCCAAAAGAAAAAGTTTGAAGTGGTTATTGCTGGGGTGGGTGGTGGACAGGGATTTGCTGGTTTTGAGATGAGCTTTGTAGGACTATTTGACTTTTTTATGTCTATGTTTTACATAAAATATGTTATAGAATCTTAAATGTATAGGAGATGGTTATAATATACTGTAGTGGAAGGAAAGAAAAAATCACTTTTAAAAGAAAAAATAAAGACTGGAAAAATACAGTATATGCCAACTGTTAGTAGTTTACTCTGAGTATTAATGATTATTTTCTTCCTTTTACTTGTATATTTTAAACTTTTTTTTGCAATGTGTATTACCAATAAAAAGTATTTTTTTTTGAGACAGAGTCTCACTCTGTTGCCATGAGTGCCATGGCAATTACTGATAAAAATTTAAAAAACACTACACACACCGCCATATGCATGTATGTATATACCATGTCCAGCGCAGAAAAAGAAGTTGTCCTCCTTGGGCTTTGGAGCCACATGTTCAGTTCTGATTCACGTGGTGCGAGTATGAGTTAATAGACCAACGAGCACCAAGGTCAGAAGTGAGGAGGCGGGTGGTGGTGTCGGTAGGCGCCCTCCCCGTGGCGGGCCCTGGAAAGATCAGCGAGTCTTTGGACTGGGGTGCAAGACTCGGCTGTGAGCTCCCTAAAGGCAGGAACGGAGCACAGTCGTCATTTCCATCCTTGGCACATACTCTGCCCTACTCTGCACGTAATTCAGCACTCTTTAAATGAATTTTAATCAATGAGAGTGAGCAAATAAAAACTTTGGCCGTATTGAGGAAAAGAGGAGAATTGTGCAGTTCTTCAGAGACGAAGAACGAGAATCAATGGATTCAATTTTACAACCAAAACAGATTTCATCTTGATCACTTAAAACTGCCCAGTATTGACAAGGTGTGAATTTTAGAAGCTATGAATTATTCACCGTTAAAGTCTTTGAGCAGGAGCTGGATTTCTGCTCTGGGTGGGAGACCGATGTCCCGTGTACTGATCGCACGTCCCATGCACTGAGGAGCATCGTTGTGGTTCTGGATTCAGGTGGTCAGCCTGAGGGCGATTAGCAGTCCTCGCTGCTCTGGACCGCAAACGCACGAAGGAAGGGAAGCCAGTGTGAGGTCCTAGCTGCTCCCATCCATCTTCCTTGGCGTGATCACAAATCATGGCAGCCCATGCTGTTCCAGAGGGATAGTTCTCTTGCATTTAATTAAGGGCAAGGAATCTCGTCCTCGTTTGTGGCACAGGGAAGTTCAGCAGCTCTCTAGACTTGCCTGGAGTCCTTAGGAAGTATGAGCTCCCTTGTTCATGGGGTCTTGGGGTTGTCTGTGAGCCACGCCTGGGAAATACCCTGGCCCCTCACATCACTGCCTCCCCTGCCTGCCTCAGAGGACCTGGGGAGGGAACTGGCCACCCTCTGACAGCACCACCTCCCACCAAGCTCGCTACCCACGTGCACATCACCCCAGCACAGCACCCCTAATGCTGTCTGTCTTTCCTTTGCGCTTCATAGGTATCCCTGGGGTCACAGGTCGATTTACAGAAGAAGAAGCGGCGGGCGCCAGCTCCCCCTCCGCCACAGCCACCTCCGCCAAGTCCCGTGGTCCCCACCCGCACGGAGGACAAGGAGGAGAACAGGAAGAGCACAATGGGTGAGTGAGGCTGGCAGCGCTGGGGTGCTTGCTTGGCCTGGAATGTCAGCCGTGCTGTTAACTTTTGCAGTGGCCTTGTCTGCAGTGGCATTAACCCAGAAACTAGTAATGCTAAAGAAAGAAAGTCTGGAAATACACAACTGTGAGTCGCTTCCTATCTTACTGGCAATATCTGGCGGAAATCATGTTAGCATTGGGAAGGCGGGATGGTGGGGGGAATGGCTGAAGCTGGGGAGAGCGAGTGAGAGTGAGTGTTGGTGTGTGAGTGTGACCAAGCGAGTGTGAGCGAGTGTGTGTGGAACACGCATCTCTGAGGGCAAAAAAAGTTGTTCTCGGGACGCCATCAGGGGAAGCTGCCTTGCAGGACATCTGGCACTGGAAAGGCGGCGTAGGCCCCGTGCGATGTATGACGAGCTGACATCAGTTCTGTTTTGACCATCCTGTTTGCAATTGCTCTCCCCTTATATGCCTGGCATATATTTAGCAGAGACCCTGATATTCTTTGAGAAAAAGAGAACCCAGAGGAAAGAGGATGGAATCATAATGTCTGTGAACAGAAAGAGACCTGTTAGCTCGTCAGACCCACGCCGTGTGCCATAGGCGAGGTGGACAGAGGCTAAACAGTGGAGGCCTCCAGGCCCACGAGCTGGGGGTGGTTACAGCTATTTTAAAATCATTCAGTATCTGTTACTTCACGTGAGTAGGAAGAGAAATGGCTCCTGCAGAGAAGGCTTTGGAGAATTGCCTTCTGGGATTCCCACCTCCTAAGCCTGACACGCCCAACGAACGCCGTGCATCAGGGCTCCTGCTGAAGCCCCCAGATGGCCATGCACTGTGCCCTTTAATCCACTCAGTGCCCCCACATTTTGCCTTTGACCTAATGCCTATAGCCCCAGGAGGGAGAGTGCTCCCGAGGATAAGTGGTTGCACTGTCAGGATCTAAACTGTACTAAGAACTATTCGGCTGCTTGCCAGCACTTCCCCAGGCAATACTTCCTTTTAATGTCGTAGCCTGTCACAGCCTGTGATCAGTTATGCTAAGGAGCAATAACCTGTCTGCTACCAGTTCATCCTCTTCCCCAAAGGAAAATACTCTCAGATTGAAAGGAAACATTACCAGTGGATCATTAAAATAAACCCAATTTTCTCCTGGTTCATGAAGAGACCCCCATTCCCCCTTCCAAGCTCTCTCCCCACGCCTTGTAAAGGGGCAGAAACCCTTGGTTGACCTTCTAAGCACCGACTTCAGTGGCCATATGGACATGGTTGGGTCATGCCACCTTCAGGCCGGACAGCCATTTCAGCCCAAGGCAGGACCCCCTGATTCAGCCCTGGAGAGCTGTCCTCGTGTCCGGTGTGCTTGGAGAACCCGGCCGGGCATGTGGGGTCAGCTGGTGCCCACAGGCAACAGTGGAAATGGGGGCGGATGTTTTAAAACTGAAAACCACGGGAACAATGCCCTCATCAGGAAACATTGTAAGAGTATGAATAATAATAATTCACTACAGGTCTTTCTCTCGTCTATAGGCAAGTGTCTGTGAGCGCTGAGAAGTCCAGGAGCTCCCTTCCTACTGATGTGAATGTTTTGGGGGGCAGAGGATGGTGGAGAGGCCTTGGTGGCAATTTCTTGTCAGACTGCCATCTGTCAGGAATCCCCATGAATTAAAAGTACACAAATAGTACCACAACGGAACTTTTAACTGAAGTTTAGCCTTTAGGTTGGAAAAACACAAAAGTAGCCCCTACCCACAAAAAATTGTTGAGTGACTTTTCTATTTAGACGTTAAATATAGAAAGAAAAGTTTATTTTATAACTTGCACTAAAATAGTGTCATAGCTAGTTGGATTTGGGTCTTGACCTAAATTTCTTGGAGTGGGAATCTCTCCTTCCGACGTGCCTGCTCCCAGGGAGGTGACACCACTTCCAGGGCCTGACAGCACAGCCCAGACTGATTCTGGCTTAATTGCCGTTTGAGGGAGGAAATGATGTTTTGATACAGGGAAGTAGTGCTTTTCCACACCTAGAGAGCTATAACCAAGAGAAGGAATGAGTGGATATATGTCTTGATGAAGAAATTGTATCTTTTAATATTTTTATTAACAGTCTGGTAAAGGGCATGAGCATGGAATCTATTAATTATTAGAAGATTCTAAACTGTAAAGCTTGAAGAAAGTGGTTTTAAAAGTAATAATAGTAACCATGAGTCATGACACTAGCGATTCATGTCATTTATTACATTGTCATTGACTTTCAAAAACTTTATGAGCATAAGAAAGCCATTTTCAGACAAGCTCGGGCGCATGCAGGGTGGAGTGGCCATAGACGGAATCCGTTTTCACACACGCGTGTGAGTGCGTACCCGGGCGCAGCCAGAGCGAGGGCTCCGCCTGCCTGACGGAGGAACCGCAGCCGGGCACGCCACCCTGACTCTTCCTACAGCTCAGGACACTCTTCAAAGAAAACTTTGAAAACTTACGCTAAACAGCCAAAGAGGCTGAACGTTTAAATGGGCTGAAAAGAGAGAAGCTCCGTCAGTCGTCGGTCTGTCCGCAGTAGGTCAGTGGATACAGAAGAGCAACAAGAGGAAGCTGAAAAGCCAATCTGTGAACCTGAGGGAGACCAACATGAATAAAAGAGCTCCTTTAACTTGACAAAGCTGTTCAGGGCTTTTCAGGGTAGCTGTCAAGCCCACAATGTGTGCAGTTGCGCCTGCCGGGAACAAAGTGCGGCCGGGCAGGTGTTTCCAGGTTGGCCGGCAGCAGAACACACGCACGACCCGCGCGGCGCCAGTGCGGGTGGATGTGGCTGGCGCCAGCGAGGCTGGGCGAGGCTGGGCGAGGCTGGGCAAGGCTGTGTGCTAAAGAAGGCTGGATGCGGTGCGGGTGCGGCTGGGTGCGGAGCCCGGGAGCGGTAGCGGTGTGTCCTTGCGGGAGGGCAGGAAGTCTGCCGGCCTCGCCTGCTGAAGTAACCCCCGTTGATCCCGTGTAGGTGGTGGACGTCAGGTGCCACAGAAGCCCCCCAGAGGCGCTGCCCGGGGCCCGCCCCAGTTGGTGCTGCCCCCGCCCCCGCCCTACCCTCCTCCCGACACAGACCCCGGCGAGGAGGAGCCTCTCGGCTTTCCTGGGGAAGGCGCTGGTTCCAGGGCCTCAGACCCGAGACCCAGACGTACGTGCCTCTCGTTCCCATTCTCGTTCCCATTCCAGCTCCCGTGTTGCCCGTCCCTGTCTCTGGTCTGCTGGTGTCAGGGCTGCGTTTCCAGACTTTACGTTCTTGCCTTTTGGTGTTTGTGCCTCTCCTTCGCAGCTTTCTTTCTCAATGCTGAATGCAGTGTGTCCCACTTCACTGAGCGTGCACTCTGAACGATTTAACCAGTTAATCACTCTTATCTGTGCTTAGACTTAGCTGAAGTTGTTCCTTGTGGGTGGAGACAGTCAGCGAGGAGCTGATGATCCTCAAATTAGAGCTAACCTCGGAGCGTGTGTGCGGAGCAGCTGCCCCGCACCGCCCGTGGAGAAGTTGTTGGTCGGCTCAGGCAAGCTGTGAAGGCACGAGAGGGGGTTGTGCTCAAAAGCTGGGAAGACTTCGTTTGTAAGCGAGTCTTCGAACCGTGTAGCCAGTGGCCACGCATTGGCACTGCTGCCCTGCGGAAAGGGAAGCTGGAACACCGCACCGGGAGGGGACTCAGTTTGACTGGAGGGTACCGAGAGCCAGAACTAAAGTCTTGCCTTGCTTCTGTTTCTCAGTACGCACGGTCTGAGATGGGGCTTTCCTGCTGTTCCCTGGGATTTCTTTGGACTGTAGTAAGCACTATATATAACATTCCCTCCTCTAGACGGGTAGTAGTTTCATATATTTAACTCTGTGTATTCAGATGGCATCGTGTGCGTGCCAGGCCTGCGCTCGACCCCCTCAGTACGTCTGTGCTATGCGGGGACACCTGGCAAAGCGAGCCCCACCTGGCTGCGTGTGCCTAGCAGAGTAACGGCATGCTGCGTTCAGCCAGTGCCCCGTGGGGCCCGCTGGAGTGTGCACGGCCCGCTGGTTAGCAAGTGCAGACTTGCTGCCACTGGGCCACTTTATCTTTTTCTGACTTCTTTGGGATGACAACGAGCTGCCTGCCAGCTTCTGGGTAAAGTTAGTTAATTGTTGGATGACTTACTGACTTTGTCTAGGCAAGATAATCCCAATTCATTTTATCTGTCTTCACAAATACCTCTTTTCTAACCTTAAAATACATTCGATCATCTTGACCTTAGACATGCCTCTGAGTGCAAATGAATTTCTATGAGGTGTTCAAAAATTAAGGGTCAGACTTACCGGTCAGAAAGGTGATGGCTGTGGATGGTTCTGGAGCCATGTCATTGCTGAAGGAAGTGGGTTTTAAGCCCCACACACCAAGGCCATTAGCTTCGGCGACCATTCCTGCGGCTGTTGTCATTGCCGACAGAAGCTGCTCCCCAGGGGAGAGGCGAGGAAGGAATTGCTGGAAGGAAAGGGTGAAGCTGTGCACAGGCCGTCGGCAATCAGGGGACAGCGGCCACAGGACCAGTGGCTTTGCTGCAGCCTACACGGGGTGGAAGAGCCAGGCAAAAGGCCCCGTGCACCTTCCCACACCTGACTTCGCGCGGACTCCCGGGCCCTCGCTTGCCCCAGCTCCCTCGTGTTTGGGGCTCTCACTGTTCAGGCGCAGTGTCGGCCGGGGGGCGACCGGCACCTGAGACGCTGGGAGGGGCGCTCACCCAGCCCTGTGTCAGGTGGAGAGGCTGTGCCTCCTCCTGTCTCTGTGGAGCTGGGAAGACGTGTCCCATGCTGCCCCAGACTCCCCACGAGTCTGAGCGGAGAGTGGACGAAGCCACAGGCAGAAGACCAGACTCGCTTTCCTCTTGCCTGTGGCTCCATTGCCCCTCGTGCCTCCTGCCAACTCTCCCTGCCATGGACTGGGACTTCCCCTGCCCTCAGCAGCGTTGTTCACCTTTCCACTCCTCCGTCCCTCTCACAC